ATTTCTCGGTGTTCGGTTTTTGGCAATTACCGTTGATCTAATTTTAAATGGCGTTTCAGTGAATAGCGCTACGATGTCGCCGTTTAACTTTTCTTACTCTTGGATATGTTGGCTTCATATCCGTATTTACATATTTGCAAAATTCTATTGCGTTTTTTCACAAACCTCGCGCAAACCACCGGTATACTCTTACTTTAACACCAAAAAACGTGCTTGAAATTTGTGATTTTCGGAAAGAAAAAAAAAACTTAATGCAAAAAATAGAAATACGGATTTAATCTTCATGACCTTTGCTTCAAAACAGTGTAAAGTTTTTGATCGCATGATTGACTGTAGAGATGACAATTAAAATTTTATTCACGTTAGTTAAATTATCAGCCCCGCTGATTTTCAGAATCACGTGACGCTAAAACAAACACAATGTTCACAAAATATTAATAGTAGGAAAACCCAAATCAAGAGCTTTCGAAACATATATAGATTGTATGGTTTCTTGTACAATTTATTCCGATTATAGGTGTTTACATTTTTCATGCAAAAAAACTATCCTGCTACCTTAATACTTCCTTGGTGTGTTATTAACCATATACCGACCAGTAGTTATAAACTGAGATCAGTATTCAGCTTTGATGACCAGAAAGGGGAGATCCTCATTAAAACTGAATATTGACCAATATTAAAGTGAAGATGATTTATTATATCACATTAATGAAACAAATTGATGGTTGGATACAACATTTTTATTTTGTTTTTGTAAACAACTGCACAAACACATTAGAATAGAGATCACTGAATTCACATTATTGAGTCTCAGTCAACAGTGAGTTTTATTCACAATCATGTTATAAAAATGTATATTATACAAGTTTAGGCCATCATGAACAGTAGCAGCACTGTGTTGACAATCGTTTATAAAATTTATAAAAAGCTACATTAAACAAAAAAGATATCACTCTCTACCCTATTTTGATTGTCAATGTTAGGACAAACCGAATTTAGCAAATACGGTATCAGTGATTGTTTTGTGGCGAAAATGGTATTTTGTAAATTTTCATGTGTCGCTGTTTACCACTTATTTGTCTACCCTACCAATTTAATCCACAGTTGGAAAATAGCTAATACACAGTACCCCTCAAAAAAACTGCATATACATTACCTGCTGATTTAGCTTTAGGTGATTTTCTGGTGGCAGCTTTTGGCATGGTGACTCCCAAAATAAATTATAGTTTCTTATCTCAGTTCATTAGTTAAATGCCTGTTGAGAAACAAAACGCATATTAGGTCCAATTGTTTGTTCACATAAAATCTGAACGATCAGTACCTATGACCATGGCTCTTCAAACAATCTGTAGATCAAGGGGGGTGTTGCGATTGATCCAGTCTAGTAAAATTGGTACCAGATTGTATTTTTGTACGTAATTTGCTCAGTGTTACCCACTTCTTCCCCGATATATTTGTAAAATCAGGTTTTGAGGGCTTGGCTAATTCAAAACTGGCCAGTTAATAATGCATTGTGAGCACATTATTTTGGTGCTGCATTGTGAAACTTTTCTTTGATAAAACATTGGTAACATTACCTAATAATAACCTTTTAGTTACAATGACAGTAATGTCACGAATTTGGGTGATTCAGTCATATGACCTGATACAGCAAAAGCTGTATCCAGTCAACAAAGAACATTAAATAAAATTACTTTTTTTTTCAATCATTTTTTTTGTTTTACTGATCAGAATGTTTTATTCTGTTACTATGACAGATTTATTTTTACTTTCATTTTGTAGTTACTGCATAATCACACTTGACTATGTTCACATCAGCAAAACTCTAGAAGACATACCTAAAAAAATACATACACTTTTTTTTTAATTGCTAATTTGTTTATCATGTAGCAATTTCTATATCCATGAATATTCATTGTTTTCTAGGTCAGTACATTCTAAAAGGGGCGATATATAAATTTTGGGGGCAGCACAACACATCAGATGGTCTTGTCAAGTTGATGGGGATTGTGTCAGACTTGGAGATGGTAACCAGCTACCAGCTGCTTTCATTGGTACATTTGATGTTTGTGTTATTTGAAGTGTAGATCCATTCCAGTTCTATACACGTGACATTTCTAAATTAGTGATATCTAGCTATTTTAATAATTCTTGCCTTAAATACAGTCAGGAAAAAAAAATCTATTATTCAGTTTGTTATAAATCATCAAATATCAAATGCATCATACTCGCAATAAGTAAACTTTAAATGAATAACTCCTTACTTGAGACAATAATATTGCAGTTAGTTGCACAAAACCTAATTTTGTATGTATGCAACATTTTTCATAAATGACAATGCAATTAGTATGGAAAAGTTGTTGCTTCTTCTGTCATTTTACTGTAATGGCCATATCCGTGATGGTACTTCTTATTTTTTGCAATCACTCCTTATCTGTTTTGCATTCTGCAAAGTTTATGTTAACACAGCAGTTGGTGCAATGTTATTATAGTCCCCTGGAGTCCTGCACCCAAATGTCACAATTTTTTCACTGATTTCAGTTAAAATATTGAAAAACAGCCAGCAGAGTGTACAGATCCACTGAACCATGTGGATAGTCGCAAATAAATCATTATTTGTGGGAAAAAAATGGAATTTGACCAATAAACAGCAGACTGATTGATCCATTATGAGACCTAGTACCAATTTGTTCATTTGGTTAAAAACTAAAGATTTTCGGTATACCACACAAATGAACCCGATTGAAAGTAGTGTATTTTGTGACATCACCAATTCCATTGACGCTGCAGGTTGGTGTCCTTTCTACACCATCTGCCACATATCTCGCAAGGAGTTTGTTAGCAATCAGTTTAAACTTCTAGTTCCTGGTTTGGAAGCGGTCAGTGCAAGATCAGGTGTACCTTTTCGTATTATGCTCCCACATTTTGATAATAGAGCTCTAAAAAGATGTCTGGATGATTGTTTTATGTACGTGAGGCACTGTTTTTCAATGCCAATACTTTTTTAATTATTTGCATATGCTAATTTTTCACAAAATGACGATAAAATAGGCATTTTTGTGCCATTTTTCATCGTTATGCCGTTTCATTCAAAATAATGAATAAATTATGCTGCCCTTTTTAAAAAAAAAAACAGGCTACATTATGAAATTTATATTGTAACTGCCTTGTTATATATTTTTTATTAATTTGCCTTCTTTCCTTTATTATAACTGTATATTACTACAAGAATGACAATTTATCCAAAACTGTCATTCGTTATGAAAATTAGTAATTTTGCACAAGAATGATTTCTTCATGAAAAATGTGACATTTTAAATAACTCATGTGAATATTTCTGCCCTTTCTGTAATGATTATAAGTTTACTGATG